CAAGTCGCGCTTTATATCTCTCTATATTCCCTTGAGAGTCAAGTTTTGTTTTGTAAACCCATTTATAGCCTATTGTTTTGGTTCCTTTAGGAATTATTTCCAAGTCCCAAACTTTATTCGCATTCATAGATTTCATTTCATCTTCCATGACCTCAAGCCACTTTGATGAATGATCACTTCTCATGGCTTCTTTAAATGAGGTGGGATCATCCTCTATTTGAAATTCCTCAGTGTTGTATACTTCATAGTCAGCAGGAATAACTGATTTTCTAACTCTTTGAGACATTTTAGGGGCCTCCATATTTGGCACATCTTCTGTTTGAGGCTGTTGTTGCTCCCCCTCATGTGTGGCAATAGATTCTATAGGATCCTGAAGAACAGGTTCCTCATCGTCATTCATTGTTGCCACAGACGGAATAACAACAGGTGCTGGCACCACAGTATTTTGCACTGTCGGTGCAGCGACAGCAGGTAGTGAGAAAAATGGCTCATGAATCATCGAAGTGGGCACATACACCCGCTTCTCTTCAAGGTCAATTTCTCGAGCTACCATGCTCCCCCTCATCATTTCATCCTCTAGGAAGACAACGTGTCTCGTTTCCACAAAATTTGTATGTCTGTCTGGACAGTAGAAATAAAAACTTTTTGACTTTTCTGGATAGCCAATAAAATGACAACTTACTATATTGGGATCTAGCTTTCCAATGTTTGGATTAAATACTTTAGCCTCAGCAGGACTCCCCCACACACGTAAGTGGTTTAGTGAGGGTACTCTTCCTGTCCACAACTCAGATGGTGTTTTGGGCACCGACTTACTTGGTACTCTATTGAGAATATGAATGGCAGTTTTTAACGTCTCCATCCACAGGCTCAACGGTAAGGTGGAGTAACTTATCATACTGCGCACCATATCCATCAGGGTACGATTGCGTCTTTCAGCTACTCCATTCTGCTGAGGTTCGCCCGGTGTAGAATACTGGGCTACTATGCCATTCTCCTGTAAGAACCTTGTAAAAGGTCCAGGAACTTGGCCATATGGGGTATGCCGACCGTAGTACTCCCCCCACGGTCGGACCTGACTATCTTAATCTTTAAATTGTGTTGGTTTTCAACTTCTGCCTTAAATATCTTAAATTTATCCAATGCTTCTGTTCTTTCTTTGATTAGATAAATGTAGCCATAACGGGAGTAATCATCTGTGAATGTTATGATAACCATCCACACTATTTACAAGAAATGGACCATAGATGTTTGTGTGAATAATTTGTAAAATTCATGCGCTTCGTTTGGCATCTTTCTTAATTTTCTTTACATACTTTCCTTTTATGCATTCTCTACATTGTTCTAAATCTGAGAGCTCTAATGGAGGAAGAATATCATTCTTAACTGGTCTTTCTATTCTCCCTCTCGAAATATGGCCTAAATGATAGTGCCATAATTTCGACAACGCATCGTGAGCTCTCTTTCATTTTCTGTTTACATCCGCAGACGAGGATACATTCTCATTGTCGCACGCAATGTTCCCATCATCACATACAACATTCACATCATCACATAGTGATAACAAATAAAGCTCATTTTGTAAGATAGCAAGACCAACACATGCATTATTAAATGTTATCTTACATTTGCAATTTCTAAAATGGCAATCATATCCATCATTGTCCAAGCATGAAACACCAATCAAGTTTCTCTGTAAAGGGGGAAAATAAAGTACATCTCTGAGTAAAAGTGTGAAGCCATCAGCAAGCTCTTGAGAAAGATCGCCAACGGCTTCGACATCTGCTCGAACTCTATTTGCAACTTTAATGTGTCTTTCGCTTCTTTGCGTAGTCCTCGTCCAACGGAATCCCTGTAAAGAATTAGCAATATGAACAGTTGCACCTAAGTCAATCCACCAAGTAGATTTTGAATACTGTACATACAGGGATTCATTTATGAACGTAATAATGTTCTCACCTTTCTTTGCTATGATCATCTTTAAGTAGTTGAGACAATCTTTCTTATAATGTCCCGTCTTCTTGTAATAGAGACACTGGTCTTTCTTTACTGTGAACTTGTTCTACTAAGGCTGATGCAGCATGGGACCCTTTCCCTTTGGCTTTAAGGAGTTAGCATTATTATTCTTTTTCTTGTTGTCTTTCACATAATTGATAGTGCCACCATTGGCAGCTTTCATTCTCTCCTCCTCTTGCACACACATAGCCATGAGTCTCTCTAAGTCCCATTTCTCGGGCTGTATGTTGTAATTGACAACAAAAGTGTCAAATTCTTTTGGCAAAGAAGCAAAAATTAGATGGATAAGGAACTCTTCCTTGAGAGCTAAATCCATTGGTTTTAGCTTGGATGCCAAATTGCTCATCCTTAGTATGTGCTCTCTTATGCCACCATTTCCAGAGTACCTCTCTATAACCAGCTGCTTTATCAGCTGGGTAGCATATGTCTTTGAAGAGCCAGTGAACTAACTCTTTATTCTATCAAGGTACTCGGTGACCGTGTCACACTCTAGGATTGAGCACACAATTGCAGGCTCAATCATGTTCTTTATCACAGCCAAACATTTCTTATTGGTAGTGACCCACTTCCTATGCTCAAGGTCATAGGACATCTTTTGGGATGCAAAATCCCTCTCTCTTGTTGCCCAAGCGGCATCAGCCTCGTTTGTCTCCCTCACTGGTGCCACAGGCATAGTGGGACTCGGTGATGTGACTACCCAGTCCACCTCAGCCAAGATGAAGGCCAGGTCAATCTTTTTCTTCCACTCCGTGTAGTTGTCACCTTTGAGAGTGGGGATCTCTTTGATACAACCCATCAAGTTGTATCCGCCTGAAAACATAATTCATATAGAGTGAGAACATAAATATAATAATAACAATTGCATGCCTTAGTTCCAACGTTGGTCAAAATTAAAACATACAATTGTCCTCTACACTAATTCTACATCACCGTTGGACAGAAATAGAATTAATGCATGGCAAAACATCATAATATTGCCATTAATCAACATTGATCAGAATAATAACAATATTATAATAAACTAAAAACATATCTACTTTTTTAAAATTAAATTCTCGCGTTGGTTCAAATTTAATAATGAAAATAACAACTTTAAATACGCAGCGGAAAAATAATTCAATTTAATGAATTTTGCCCACGGGACAAATCCTCTTTTCTATTTTCTTTAAGCCATTTGTCCATTTTCCAAGAAATAAAACTTTTACTCGAAAAAGAAAAACAAAAAATGACTCAAATATGCACTGTTCCATCGGCTCGACCAAGAAATCGGCCCGGCCTGGCTTCGCTGACGTGCGCTGTCCCTCCTAGGCCGCAACCTGGGCCTGGGCTGGCAAAGCCGCCCGCGCGCGCGCTCCTGCCTAGGCCGGACGCCGATCCGATCAACGTTGGCCATTCATCTAGATCCGACGACCACGCGCGCGTTTCACTCGGAATAAAAACCGACGCCGCGGCGCCCCCGGGGAAACCCTAATTCATTTCTTTCTCTCTCTCTCAGCCGCTCTCCTTCCTCAGTGCAGCAAGCAGCAGCAGCAATCGAGAGCGAGAGCGCAAGCAACTTTGGCACCGTTGCTGGCCCCCTCGCCGGCGCGCGCGCTCCCCACGTGGTTGAGCACGCCACCGTTGAGCGGACTAGTGGTGGTGCCCTAATCCCCTCGAAACCCTAGATCTGACCTATCCTATACTCCTCCACCTCTGTCTCGGTCCCGACGATGACGGCGCCATCGCCGGCCCTCTCACTGGCGCGCGCTCCCCAGCGGATGAGTGCGCCGCCGTCGAGCGGCCTGGCCACGGCACCCTTGGCTCGAGCACCCGCCCGCGCCCGATGAGGCCTCTTCCCCTTCCCCTTCCCCTTTTCTTTTCTTTGATTTTCCTTTCTTCTTTTCTCGGATCTCTCTGATTTAGGGTTGGGGATGGGGTTAGGATGGAGATTAGGGTTTGGTTAGGGTTAGGGTTTCGTTCACTGTTTATCTTCCCCGACGGGTTAGTGTACGGTTGAGTCGCTGTTCTTCTTCCCCAGCGGGTTAGGGTTTGTTTCCCGAGTAGGGTTAGGGTTTCAATCTGAAAACAGATCGAACCCTCTGTTCTTTTCTCAGATCCGAATGGATCTAATCTGATAGGCTAGATCTATACCCAAACGAGGCTCTGGTACGATTGTTAGACCTTGAACAGGATCTATAGGCATAGAACTAGCATGTCTACTTGCTGTTGAATAGAATCATGAACCCTAGAACATCTACTAGTGTAACGAGAGAGACAGAGAGGGGTGGAGTAGAAGATCGTGTCGAACCTGACACCGCAGAGGAGGAACTGCTCGCGTCTGCCATGGAATCGGTGTCTGCACTTGGGCAGCGACGGTCAGTGAAGACGGTGTCGGTGATGCGCAGTGGCGACCGGTGGTGAAGGCAGTGGAGTCCGGTGACGTAGTCCGGAGGCGGCGTAGTGCTGTGGTGGAGGTGCTTCCCGTCACTGGCTGCGCCCCTCACTAGATCGGGTTTAGGGTTTGTCGATGGGGAGCTCGGCTCAGGCAAACCTCGTGACTTGAGCTGCCAGCCCCCACCTCTATTTATTGCGCAGTGTGACAGGGGCCCTCCAGCCATAGTGGGCTGGGCGCCCCCGATCAGGACACGGATCAAAGGCCCAACTGGGTCGTTGGGCCCAGTTTGGGATTAGAGATCAATCTAACAAGAAAGACCCTGTTCAGTTTGTCCGATATATAGTCGGCAGCTAAAATACTTGCCTCCTTATTGAGGGTTGTATTTGCCGACATTATGTCATTTATCATACTTGCAATTCTATTAGGCTCATCCTCAAAATTAGGTTCAACACATGGGCATTGGGAACTCAATCCGTACCAGTACCACTCGGTCCAACCTTCCAACATGTATTGAAATGTGGCGGTCACCCCTTGCTCGGCGATCTCTAAGGACATCGCAACATCATCTTTGTCTTGCGCTATATGCAAATTATTTAGCATGCGCGACAAATTACCAAGGGACTTGGACCTGAGCACCGGCGGGCTAGCAAGGTAAAGGCACAAGACACGCTCAGTATACTTGAAGCACCTAGAGAGGAAGATGAGTACCATGGCATTCCTGAGGCGGCGGTCCGGCCAAGACACCTTGGCTACCACATACCCGGCGACCCCAACCTGGGTAACCAAGCTTAGCAGGTGGTGCGCCCATAGCTCGTTGTCCTGCTTGGAGAAGGCCGTAATGGTGTCCTGCCCGCCCAGGTGGACGAGCATGAAGGGCGCCCAGAACGAAATGAGCTGATGGTGGGGCCTGCTCGCATGGACCGCGAGGTGGCCGAGCACGAAAATGGCCACGGAATCGGCCGACAGGTACGCCAGCCACAGGAGGGTGCGCAGTATGCTTGAGGCACTGCGCCTCCGCATGCTCGCTGTGAGGAAGAGGAAGACTTGCAGGGATAGGCTGATGAGGATCAGGCCATTGATCTGCCACACGTCCCATAGCTCTTGTACAGCGGGAGCCAAGCTGAGGAGAACACAATTGCATGCATGCATGCATGTAACTTCGTAAGAGTTAGCTCCAAGTTACCCAAAGCACACAAAAGTGTGTGTGATTCACATAAAAATAACCTGAAAGCAAGATGTTAATTTGACTCAATCGTGTTACCTTTGTTTTCCAATTAGATTGCCTACACCAAATCCCTCGCCGCTTATAATTATTGGGCTCATTTCAATCAGCTGGGGCATGGGCAAGCACAAGTATAACACATGGTAATACTTCGCCATGAACTCGTATTTATATGTGCTTGTAAAGTTGCGAGATGGAGTCAAGGGCAAGTTTCGTACTTTTGGTGACAGTGCATAGATGTTTTGCTTCGATAGAGAGCAAGTGTTCAGCTAAAGTCGGCCGGGCGCCTCTTTTGATACGCTGGCATGTATGCGTCTTAGTTCTCTAGGTAAAGAAAAGCGATAAAGCAGTCATGGTCCACAAAGTACAGATCAAAGTAGCAAACCAGTTACCTGATTCTCTTCAGCTTAGAGACGCTAGTGGCTAGTAGCCTAGTACTAGTGACACTGGCGATCATCCCTTCAGCACGAAGCCGTTCCCTGCTTCCAATGCAAGTAGCGATGGAAGTATATCTGATACAAATTGAATAGAGCGCACACAAGGTTGATATGTGCTCTTGTGATTCGATATTGTGATGAGTGATTGTCAATGAGCTAGCGCTTCGGGTTGAGTTTGTGGACTAACCGTGGTGTGAGTTATGTTGTGCAACATGTCTCTTGGCTTGTGGTGCGCAGGTGTGGAGCTCGGAGACGATGGTCCACAGTGAAGGTGAAGGTCAAGCGGGTTCGTGCCGAGGGACCGGGAGCGGTGAAGGACGGATGCCGAAGGCTTGGACTGAGGGATCGGAGAAGCCGGACGACTAGCCATGGTGGCTGACACCTGGGGATATCGACAGGCACAAGTGTACATGAAGGAGTGACCGTGTTGACCAAGTCAAGACGGTGGACGTGCAAGTCGAGCGGAGGCTCTAGAAGACTTGGCGGGCGGCGGTCGAGGATGGTGGTGACGCGTGTCGAGGAGTGGGGCACGTGTATGGAGTACGCTACTCGCGAGCGGGATCTCGAGTTGGACCATAACGCCGCTGGGGTTAAGTGGTTTGGCTCAAAATATCTAGGGGCAAGTTGGTCATTTGTAATAGCCCTATAAATAAGGGGAGGGCTGATCCAACCAGCCCTATCTCTCCAGTCAGTCATTTTCTTTCATCCTTGTTAGGGTTCCCTGCCTCTAGACTACTGTAGTGATCCGCATATGATTTAGCCAAATCATTCATCTGTGTAAACAAAATCTTGTAGACCTGATCTAAATGAGAATGGAGGGCTTAACCTCATCTTGTCCTCCGGGCTTCAAGATCTGAGTCAATTTCGTTTTGATTTGGTTTTGGTGTTCTTCCTCTCTCGGTATCCCCCTTCACTTGATTTTGGGTGATCTCCTTGAATCTGAGTTTTGGGGTGCTTTTGGGTTGGATCAAAACATGCAAGGACATCTGAGAATCATTCCCACCAACTGGTTTGGACAGATTCAACTCGAGCACGAAAATCCATCCATTTGAGGATTTTTGAGACAACCCCACCGTTCTTGATGGATTTTGAGATTGCTTGAGATTTGTTGGTTTTGGGGTGTTAATCCTCTGAAGATTTCTTCTCAACACCCCCAAGAACCTCCCTGCAAAGTTTGAAGTCAATCCGAGTTGATTTAGTCGAGTTTCGGGCTTTGAATCAAATTTTCTTGAAATCTGCTGGTGCATACCAGACATGTCCGGTAGACACCTCGGACATGTCTGGTAGGAAATCTTTTGAGTTTTGAGCTGAAATTTGGTGGCAAGCTACCCCATGGTGTCTAGAAGATATTTTTAAAATTTCATAATTTTTGGACACCGTTTGATAGGGTTCTCAATTTTTCTCCCAAGGTCCCTCTGTGCTGTCGAGTTCAACCCGGACAAGTCCAGTAGGAACTGCGATTTTGAGTCTTGCTTTGGTTCTCTACGTGGTTCCCGTACTTGTCCGGTGAAGCCCTCGGACATGTCCGGTATGAGAGCCTGACCGCCATGTTTCATTGTTTTGTTCGTATCTCGCGCGTTTGAGCTCTGTTTTGCGTTCCGGTTTCTTCCGTGATGTCTCGCTGTGTTCCTAGGGAACATCCACCCACTTGTTTAGGTTGTGGACATCGCGATTTTTGCTCTGAGTGTTTGGTGGTGATTTTGGGACAACAACTGAATATTTTGAAAGAAATTTAAGGCTCCCATTCACCTCCCCTATGGTCGCCGTTTTTGGTCCTTCAATTGGTATCGGAGCTGAATAAGGATCATTCCACCTTAATCGGTCCATGATCCGCGAAGGCGACATGGAGCGCGGTACCGGCAAGACGCCATTCTTCGATGGAACAAATTACCCATAGTGGAAGATTCGCATGTCTGCTTATCTTCAGAGCATAGGCTCGTGGGTTTGGGAAATCTGTGAAGATCAGACCTACGTTGTTCTTGCAGAACATGTTGGTCAGGAGCAGATTGATCAGCATGAAGCCAATTGCAAGGCACGTAATGCTCTCTTTTTTAGTCTTTCGCTTTCTGAGTTTGAGCGGGTTTCCAATCTTGTTACGGCTCGAGAGATCTGTGTGAGGCTTCAGAGCTATCACGAGGGGACCACTCAGGTCAAGACCAGACTCTTTGAGACGTACCGACGTGAGTATGAGAACTTTGTTCAGTTGGTTGGAGAGTCTGTCAATGCCATATTCACTCGATTTTAGTCCATTATGAACAAGATGCGGGCAAATAAGTCGCAGCTACCCTATGATGATCATGAGAGGGCTCTCAAGTTACTACACGGCCTAGATCGGAGGGTTTGGGATGTGAAAGTCTCTACTATCCTTGAGTCACCCAACTATGAGACCCTCACCGTGGATGAGCAATTCAGTAAGCTCAAGTCCACCAAGATTGACTACCAGACTCGAGCCAAACTCGAGAATCCCTCTACGCCGACCATGGCATTGGTCTCAGGTAATGGTACTTCAAGTTCTTTGGCTAACCCTTCACATGCTTTCTTTGCCCTGTCTTCTTTGGTGTCTCTCATAGAGGAGCAGGTGGAGGCACTTGGGGATGATGAGCTAGCTCTAAACATCAGCCGGTTCTCACGGTTCCACAACAACCGCTTGAATCGCTGGTGTGGTGGTCAGAACCAAGGATGCTTTGGGTGTAGAGATCCCGACCACTTCATCGCCAACTGCCCCAAGAAGAGCAAGCACCCCTCCGACAAGTTCGATGCTGGCAAGCGCAAGGACAAGCATGAGTACATCTCCGACAAGCACAAGTCCAAGGGAGGATTCGACAAGGAAGTGCTCAAGAAGAGGTACATCAAGAAGGCCAAGGCTCAGCAGCATGCCTTCCTCACCTCCCTCAGCCACCTCGACAACGACTCCGGCAACGAGCGAGCTTCCTTCTCCTCAAGTGACGACGAGTCTGAGAGAAAGGTCGAGGAGAAGCTGAATGAGCTCTGCTTCTTCGCCGACTCACACATGGTGGCTTCTGCACCATGGCTCTTGGTGATGAGGAGACAGGCAAGGATGACACTCTCAACGACGATGACACCCCTAAGGTATTACCTTCTACCGACAAGCTCGCCGCTAAGGTAGATGCTTTTAGTGAAGCTTTGATTAGTCAGGACAAGCTGCTTAAGCATGCTACTCGTGAGAGGAAAGAGTATAAGGACAAGCTAGAGCAAGCGCTTAAGGATCTAGAGTTTGCTAAGTCCTCTGTTGTTGTGTCTGACGAGGCTGAGTGCGATGCTTGTGCGATTCACATGTCTAACTTTGCTAGCCTACAAACCAAGTATGGAAATCTGTTAGACGAGTTTGAGGAGGTGAAGGCTAGGTCTAGCTTGTTGGGTGCATGCAAGTCCTTCTCGGGCTTGCAATCTGAGCTAGCAGAGAAGAATGCCAAGATCTTAGTTCTTGAGAAGGTCAGTTCAGATAGCACAGCTATTGCTAGGTGTGCGCTTTGTGAGAGTTTGGAGCTAGAGCTTGAGTCTTGCAGGCACGACAAGATGAGAACCGAGGAAGAAAACACATACCTTCGGTCCATCTTGAGCTGGGTGTCTTGCAGTGAGTCATAGTTGGGCATGATGATAAGCCAGTTCAAGAGGGGAACTGGTAGATCGGGAGTAGGCTTTGCTTTAGGTGGGAAGGGTGAAAATCTCTATGGCAACATTGGTGAGTGTAGTGGTTTGAACCCAAGTGAAAAACCTTCCACCACTCCCAAGTTGATCAAAATCATACCACCTAAGCCCATTGAGCCTACTATCAAAGATGGAGTGTTTGAAGAACCTCCAAAAGCTCCACCCTAGAAATAAGTGTGGATTCCAAAACTTAACCATCTCAGGAACCCACTTGACACTCTACCGAACATCTCTGAGGATTCCCTTCCTAGAGTCCAAAAGCCACTAAGAGTGAACCATACCCATAAGAGAGTGAACCAACCATCACCCAAGAGAGAGGTGAGGTATCACTGTGACTACTGCCATAGGGATGGTCACCTTGCTGAGTTCTGCTTTACGAGGAAGAGAGATGAGCGGTGAGAGTATGAGTTGAACAACCAAAACATGTACCGCCCTCCCCTTGGCGTACATGTACTGCCTATTCAGAGGCACAATGTTAGGCCTAGAGGTACAATGCCTTAAGGTGCTAGGCCTCTGGTTGCGAGACCATGTGGTGGTCGTGCCCGGTGGGGTATAGGTCATGGTCAATACGATCCTAAGTTCCATGGCGGTGGCTTTCAGTCCCACGGCTTTAGCGGACCACTTTTCCCCCTCATGGTGATCGCTTTCCTCAAATGGGACATGCCATGATTGGTGTTTTTCCTAACACTTTTCTAGGGCAAATGACTCATCACTAGTATCCTTCACAGTTTACTAACCCCAGTGGTGTGCCATTTGCTCATTCCATGCCTTTCTATTGATGCAGGACGGAGGCCTGGAGAACACATGACTCATTGATTCCGGCTGTTCGTGCCACATGACTGGAAACTCAAAGTGGTTCTCCAGCCTCGACCCCATGAGCTGCAAGGAGTACATCACATTTAAGGACAATAGCAAAGGTAAGATGGTCTCTCGTGGAACCATTCGGGTTAACGAGAGCTTTGTTCTCAAGGATATTGCGCTGGTTTCAAATTTGCATTTTAACGAGATCTGAT